CTTATTACCAAACTTCGTCGCTGGACTTGGTTCGGTTCAGTTCCCAGAATCTCCGATAATAAACTTTGAACGCTAGCATGACGTATCTAGAACTTCGCTTCGGGAAAAACGATTTCGAGCAGTCGAAGCATCGCCGGATATTTCGTCGAGCGTACGAACGGGGAAATTAACGAAACGAGCGTTTTCTCGGATTTTATTACACGAGCTAAAGACTCGAACGCGACGCAAAGACAGTTCGCGCGCGCGCGCGCACACACACACACCCACACACACACACACACACACACACACACACACACACACACACACACACACACAAAAATACACACACGAGTAAATATACCGTTTTCTGCGTTCGTATCCCGATATACCGTCTTCACGAGTTCGAGTAGCATTTTTAAACGAATTCGTTCGTCTTACCTTCGAGTAAACTTAACGTGTAAGAACGATTAAAAAGTCAACTTTTAAACGCCGCATTCGCGCGCGCTAAGGCTACTAGCATTTAAGTATTACGTCGAAGCAATACTATTGTATGCGATATTTCTATTTCTTCTTGTGGAAATGTTTCGATTCGTCTTTCTTCTCGTTGATGGAAAATGCACGAGATGGATGTTGTTGGAACGAAGAGTGAGGACGCTTGCCGCGAAAGGAAAGAATGGCAGATTTTAAACCGCGCGATACGATCGTAGACGGAGGACACACGCGCGTATGTATGCGGAAGAAGGTGACTCGGGAAGAAAGCGAAGAAGAGGAAACGACGGTCGAATGACGATAAGGCGCGAAGCAACGACAGGTTCTTTCTTTTTCCTTTTCTTTTTCCTAATTCCAGTAAAAATCGATATTTCTGTTGGTTTGCGCGGCACGCTCGTAAGCGAAAAAAGAAAACAAGAATGGAAAATGGGAAAAATGGTCGTGGAAAAGTTCGGACGGGAAGTAATAGAAGTAATTTGTACGTACGTCCGTACGTTATGTCTCGAGACGAAGCGAAATTTGTCCGTTGGAAAGGAGAACGGAGAGATGATGTCTTTAATCGTCCGATTCGAGTGAGAAAGTCGCGAGAAAGGTGCTAAGATAATATCGATTCGCGTTCCTGCTCGTCGCGATTACGCGTGTTCGAGATGGCATGATCGATGGAGCGATCGATGGTGCGATCGTCCGCGCGTAAAGCGACGTCGCGACGTCGCGTCGTTGCGTCGCACGCACGCGATCGTGTATAATATAACGAAAACGAAATCGACGAGATTCGAGATGCTTCTTCTTCGAATCGTTCGGCTCTCGTTCGAATGGGCGAAAAGCTAGGAGAATGCGTACGAAAAATCGCAAATCGTGGAATCGTAATGCAACGGTGAAGATCGCGACATAATCGTAGCTTAACTATAGCCAATATAGCGCACGTACACGATAGAATTTATTTTTTTGGTCACAGAGTACTACTAACGTTCTAAGCGCGTACACCTTTAGTACGCGTCGCGTGCTAACGACGAAAGAGGGATTCAGGGGCGAGCAAACGAAGGGAGCAAAGCCGGAAGCGGAATGAAAGTAGCTCTCCCTCGAGGAGAGTGAGTGGGTTGGCGGGAGGGTGAGGGGGGAGGGGAAAGAAAGTTTGCGCGAGCGTATATAAAAGCGCGCGTTCGCGAAGAGGAACGAGAAGCTCGTGTGTCGGGGGTGCTCGAACTGTGCGTGTATGCATCTATGCGTGTATGCGTGTATACGTGTATACGTGCGAACGTGCGACGTGCAAACGTATGAACGTGCGTGCTGCGTGTATATGTGTCTGTGTGTGCACTCGCATATGTTTAATCGCAATTGATCGCACGGCGAGTCGAATCGGCGAACAAACGGGCGAACACGCGCGATGCTCGCGACGCGTGTACCGGTGAGTATACCGGTGAGTATACCGGTGAGTGCATACCGATCGGTGCATCGAGATCTCGATGTTACCGGCACTGGTTGTTCGCCTTCGTCTCGCGCGATCCCCTTATTATCGTTCGCTCACTTTCTATATATCGCGAACACGGTCAACCTTCTCGAGAACGCGGCTCTATGTTCTTTTAAAATTTCTAGGACAAGTTTTTAGACGTTTTTAAAGAAAAAAAAAGCAAAAAAAGAAAAAAGGGAAGAAGCGAGAGAAAGAATCTCCGGGCGCGCGAGGCGACTCTTGAACCGAGAATACGTATAATATACGAGGGACCGCGTGGAACGAGAGGCAATCCTTCCTTTTTTAACGATAAACCCGATATACTCTGGCCGAATCGAACGGTCGATCAGAGAGTTTAGAGAGGATTTCGGCTGGCTCTCCGTAAGCTTCCTCGGTAATTGCATTTGGTTCGGAAGGATCGGCACTGTTTGTACTACGTCCACATCTCGCCAAGAGCGGTGTGGCGACTACTACTACGTATTGTGGCATTAGTAAAATTAAGATCACGTTTATAGGGAATGAATACACGTCGGCGTACACGTGTCGTACCACACCTGTCCTACATATAGGGAATATTCGATCCGCTGTACTCTCATTTTCGTCCCCTTTCATTTTCTTCTTTCTTTCATACTCTATTATACGTATTCGGTATTCTCCAATAGACTACCGAGCAGTATTCTGCTCGTCTGTTCGTTGGGAAACCTAACCAAAACTATCGCTGGTCGCGTAAAATTCTACGAGACCGCGTTTTAACGTCCAACCATTTCGTCGCTTTCTTTTCGTTTTCCGAATCGTTTTCCGTGTATCGATGTCGCCGACATCGGCGACATCGGCGAACATGAGCGTACAGCGAATCTCGCTTTGCGCTGATATGTACATACGTGTATGTACGTAATGTGATCTTGTGCGAAGAAAATTTAGCGATTGATATATTAAGAGGACGAAAAATAAAAGAAACCGAGGAAAAGAAGAGGAGATTCGAGTAGGCGTGCAAGAACGTAACTAGTTGCGGAATAAAATGAACGAGTAGCCTAAGTCATTCCACGATTGAATCCAAAATCCACCGTGATTTTGGAGGACGACGATTGATACTCGTTGGAACCAAGTCGATTAACAAAGATGATAGAAAGGAATGATAAGAAAGGAGAAAAGAGAGAAGAAAGCGTTAAAATGATACGTGACGACAAAAAATGGGAAACACACATACACATACACACGAAATACAAAATGTAATATTAGTAGGGAACCGTAATTTTTCATGCTCGTTTCTCGATCACACTACTCTAATTACCCAGATGTAATTTGTACTGTGTAACTATTACTATTTTTATGAATTTTTGTACATTTTTCTAATTATTATTGTATGATAATCCTTAGCGGAAAGAGGGGCGAGTCTGGCACCCAGTTTCCCCTAATAGAAATAAAAGTGTTCAAACGGTGAATCGATACCACGTATCGATGCTCGAAGTAAAGAAAACGAGAAGTAAAATTGACGGGATACGAATGTTATGCAAATTATGCGTGACGCGAGTGCGTGAGCGTATTTTGGGGTTGAATAAGGGTGTCGGAATAGAAAGGATTTCAAATTCGATTTATATAGGAAACAAGTGAAACCAACAGAGGGATTTAATGCGCGTAGATCGTTTCAAAGGAAAGCCACAGAGTTATTGAATAGCGTAGTCCACCATTTGTCCGTGTAGTTTATCTGCTCGCCTATTTATCTGCCTGCCTGCCTGCCTGCCTCCCTGCCTGTCTTTCTGTCGGACTTGTCTACCTGTCTGTTTCTCTGTCTGTTTGTCTGACTAATTGCTTATCTATCTGTTTACGAATTAATCAGTCAATCGGTCAGTCAGTCAGCCATTTAGTTAATTAATTGACCAGTCAGGCAGTCAGTTAGCCAGTCGGTCAGTCAGTCGGTCAGTCGGTCAGTCGGTCAGTCAGTCAGTCAGTCAGTCAGTCAGTCAGTCAGTCAGTCAGTCAATCAGTCAGTCAGTCAATCAGTCAGTTGATCAGTTGGTCAATCAGTCGGTTAGTCTGTCAGTCAATCGGTCAGCCAGTCAGTCAGTCAGTCAGTCAATCAGTCAGTCAGTCAGTCAGTCAGTCAGTCAGTCAGTCAGTCAGTCAGTCAGTCAGTCTGCCTGTCTGTCATTCTGTCTATATATCTATGTCCGTCTGTCTGTCTACCTATCCTTGTATCTATTTTTCCTTTTAATTTTATGCACATTGTATTACCATTAACGAATACCGAAAGTGAGGATGCAGATATAAAATAATTGTGAAAAACATTTATTAATTAAATATTGCAAAAACGATGTCCTGTTTTGAATACCAAACAATGCCAAGAATAAAAGTGACAATTCACAAACGTGAATATATGTATAATTTAAGAAGAAATGGATAAGGAGAAAATAAGAGAAGGAGGAAGAATATAAGCGAGAGAGAGAGTGCAAATGAGAATAAGAGTGAGAGGGAGAGTACGAGAGAGAGAGAGAGAGAGAGAGAGAGAGAGAGCGAGAGAGAGAGAGAGACAGGCAGACGACACTTACGAGAAAATAATGGTGACGAAAACCAAAAGCCTCGCGTATAAACGCGGAAATCGCATGTGTGAACCTCCTTCGTAATTTGACAACGTGTTTGTTATTAATTATAAGAATATCACCTTTTCTTTTTGTCTTAAATTTGAAATGCTATCAAATAGATCAATTCTTTCATGGAATTACGATTTTTTGCATTTTTCTTGATGATCCTTCTTTCCCAATCACTGATCTTATCCACACTAACGACACAAACGAATAACGATATAAACGTTCGATATGTATTTCTCGCCGTAACATCTTCCAAATATAATAAACCATGTTATATTCGTCTCTACGAAATATTTACGATACACGTAATTAACGCCAATAGGATATTCCATAACGGTCCAGAAAACATTCCCTCTGATTAAATGATAAATGCTGTTGCTTACTACCGCGACGTCGTATTAATTTTAATTCGATTACCAAGTTCGATTAATCGAGTTGCGCGATATTCAAAAAGAGAATCGTTGCGCAGAGGAAATGACGTCGTTAGAGATGGATATACGTACATGTAAGTAGTCGCTACGGGGGATTCGTAAATATACGTTAAACGAAAAATTTAGTCTTTTGTACTGAAAACAAAACAGAGAAGGAAATTGTAATTGAAATGCGTATTACAAGTATACTTTTGTATAAGGTCCATAGAATTCCATATCGATTTCGTGGGTATGTACTAATAACTCCTTGATTCTGGTCAAATTTAGAGGTTATTCTTCAGAGTTGTACGTTATATTCTTATACCGTAATGTAACAATAGTTGACATCAACTACTATAGTACAGAAAACATTGTTACTGTAAGAAAAATATTATTTAAACAAATTAACTTACTTCAATCTTCTTACTCTACTGTTATCAGTTAAAATAGTTACTTGTTATTGTAACCAATATCGTTAATAACCTACAAATATTACGGCAAATATAGGAAATATGGTAAAATTAAAGAGCCAACTTTAAAGGATATCATCGAGTTTAAACGAGATCTTGAGAGAGAAGAAAGGAATATGTTACTACTTAGACATCCTTATCTTACTATTGAACAAACGCATGGTCATATGAAGGAACAAAAAGTACAAAAATATCTTGACAAAGTAAATAAATGGCGAGAAGAGACTAATGAAAAATTTAACAAAAAAGTAACTATCATGGATCGGTTAAATCATTTAACAGTAGCCGAAGCCTGGGATTAATGTTTATTATATAAACGCTTACAATAGTTTTAATTTTGATAGAAATAAACAATCGTTGAATAAGATAAAAATATCATGTATAATGTAAACATTACAAAAGCTAAATATAGTATTATTTCATGCATAATTTCATTTTCTTTGGAATATTGTTCAGAAAAAAAAAAAAAAAAAGTTAATTACTGGGAAAACATAAGTTATAGAAATACAAAAATATGTTGTAGAATGTAATATCATTGGATGCCTTAGCATGAGACCCATACTTTTTCAAGTATGGATAATTTTCACTGTTGTTTTCTTTTAATTCATGCACTTACGATAGATTCATTTTGGAATCTATTCTGTAAATCTTTAGGTTTGTTTCTCATCCAACCAAATGCATCTTTATTAATGTCTGTTTCTGTTAGTGTCATTCCTTCGTAAAGAAAATTGGCAAAATCTGCTACGACGGGATCTGCTCCAACGCTACTCATAGCGATCACTTTATCATCTTTCATATAATATGCAAAAAATTCCAAATTTTCTAACGAACCGTAAATTCTTATCTTCTCTGCTTTCCCATATCCTGTGGAATTTGTAATAAGTATGATAAAACTATGTTGTTTAACCTCGATCGTGTATACTATGTTGTAAAAACAAAGCGTACCAACGTATCTGTAACTCTTTCCAAATAGCGTGGTCCAGAAAAATGGTATGCTATTCAAGACAGTATTTTTACCACATATGTTCAATGCTGCTATTTTACCATGATAATGCGCTAAGGAATAATGACCTATTGCAGCTAAAATATTATCGGAGCCAAATAATGGTGCATATGCTATATCACCGCCAGCGTATATATTTTCCACGTTTGTTTTTAAGTACTAAAATTACATATAAAATATTATCATTTTCAAAAGTACTTCTTTAAAATTCATTCGATATTGTGCGTTAATATACCTTATCCACTACAATGCTACCATCGTCTAGCATTTGAATAGGAGAGTCCTTTATCCAATCGGTATAAAATCTAGATCCAATTCCAATAATCACTATATCAGCGGGATGATGTTCGCCATCGGTAAGTACAACTGAACCCACGGATTGCGGTTGTTTACCACCTTCTTTTGCAATAAATTGTGCAATATTACGTTCGAAAATGAATTTAACACCTTGAAAATAATATTTGATTAGTTTTTATTCGTAATATAAATCAAGCTGTATATTAATATAGTACCTTTTTCTTCGAACAAATGTTTGATTCTGTTACCGATATCTGTTCCAAAAACTGATTGCAAAGGAATTGTACCTCTTCCCACGATAGTAACAGATGCACACTTATCTACGCAAAAAGCAGCAGCTTCCATACCAATAAAACCTAATCCAAGTATCATAATATGTTTGTCTTGCGATAGTTTCGAACTTATAGCATGACAGTCTGTATAGTCTCGTAGCACATGAATATTCGATAAATCAACACCAGGTATGTCAGGCATTCTGGGTGCGCTTCCAGTACAAATAAATAAATTATTGTATTTTAATTTTTCATTATTACTCAACTGAACAACTTTATCAATTGTATTTAATCCTGTAACAAATTGTATCGTGAAACACAAGCATTCACATGAAGTAAAAGATTTGACGGTAATTTCATTACCTGTAGCCTCTGTACCCAATTTAATTTCGATATTGTGTTCTTTGTAAAATGAAGCTGGTCTCAAAACTGCTTTTTCAAAATCTATATCGAATGTCTTGGATACTTTTACTCTGTCATATGGTAATGCATTTTCCTTACAAACCATGATAATGTTTCCCGTGAAAGCTTCTTGTCGCAAACTCTCTGCACAAGTTGCAGCTGCTGGTCCACCACCGACTATTAAAGTTGTGGTATCATTATTGGCATCTTTTTCGTGCATCTTCTTTGTCCTTCTATTGAGATCTAAATCTTTACGTCTTGCTTTCACATGGACAAGACCAGTGTCATCCACATTTACCTATTTAATTAAATTTTGTTACATGTTACTCCATCCAGAGGAAAAAAAGAAGAACAAATATACTTGAATAGTTAGATACCTGGAAACAAGGTAATGAATCTAATCCTGGATAATCTTCTATATCTCCTGTTTTAATATTAAAACATGCACCATGCCATGGACATCTCACTCTTCCATCTCCTAATGCTCCTGTATGAAGCAAAGCTCCATAATGTGTACATTTTGTTCCAATAGCATGCAATTCTCCTTTTTGTTTAATTAATAAAACTTTCCCTCCATTTTGTCCAAGTGATAAGAGTTTCATTTCATTTTCTTTAATATCCGTTTCCTTACACACCACATCTTCAATGTAATCATATTTCTCTGGTTTACCTAAGTGAATGCGTATAAATTATCCAATTAAAAATATAATTGCATCAATCTACAGTTAAAATAAATTTAATATTTCCTAATTGCATATGTTAATTTGCCTTTCTAATATTTGTATAATTTTATTAAATAAAGTATTTATAAATATCAAATATAACTACGTGTTACGGTAAATATGATCGTTGACGCGCAAGCGGAAAGCTTTTAACTCACAACTGCAACAACATTTTGCACTATTATATGACTGCCTAATATCTTCTTGCTCTTTGTTACACTCACTGCAGATATGAATTTTCCTTCCAGGCTGTAATTCTGACATTCTTCCGTCATTTATATTTAAACGAACACGAAAAATTCTATTATATACTAAATTCATACATTGTCTCGTTACATATGGACGCATACTGTCAAAATGTTCTATTGTTATTCATCGTAATTACTAATATCGTTAGGTGAAATTTTATAAATTACTCGTGATACAAAACGTTATTCCAAGGCCAGTTTATTGTCATAAGAAGGGTAGTGAAACCGTCAAAAAATTTCACACACATACATACATACATACATTTGTACGCAAAAATATTACGTTGCAATACATGTAATGCACTTTTAATAATTTTTATGTTTTCTCAATTGCATCAGTAGATAAGAAAACAGGTCAACAGATAGACTATTAATAACGTAAAATAAAAGAAGCTTAATATGTGTCACCTGATTTTCGTGATGATTCATTTATTAACGTAAAAATCCATCAAGAATCCTATTTCATATAAAAGAAAAGTCAATATTGCTTTTATATACAATTTTTATTAAATTATCTATGTCCGTGCATATACGATATAATTATGAACATTTCATATAAATTTATTAAATTAAATTTAGATAAAAAAAAGGAAAGAAAAAGAAGTACTTTATATTTTGGCATGCATCGAATGTGTAAGCATATAAGAATGTATAGGCAGATATCGATAGAGCTTCAAACAACATCTCTAATTATATAATTATAAACATATAACTTAAGAACAAAGAAATATGATTCGCACCTGTCTTTACCGATTTATCCGACGCAGCATTAGAATTTCCTGGAAGAAGTCCTTTACAATTATTTCCACCCATTGATTTGTTAAAGTAATGTCACTCACAAGTGATATCGCAGTTGTGTTATCGCGATATTTATAAATCAACTGACTACTTCGATTTTTACGATTACTTGTACTTATAATACTAAGGATTGATCAATTGTGACGATTGACGACCTTGAGTTATTTGTGCAGCAAAGTATTTGAGATAAACTTTCACTTATTCGTACAATAATAGATTACAATTTATCAAGAAAATATTTCTATATAATTATTTTAACATATTTGTTTAAATTACGATAGATTATAATAAATTAACGATAATTCTCGATATATTAATTAATCAATAAAAAATGTAGCTTTTATATTCAGTGCGAAGATTAGAAATTAATTTTTATTATTCAACATGTGAAATTATTTATCGATTTATTTCAATTCAACTCCGGTTAACCAGGTATAATATAATCTTATCGTTAATTATCGAATTTCGTAAATAATCTTTTACAATTTATATCTCGGAGCGTATAAGCTATCGATTTCAACGGTAGACACTGCTGATTATCGACACATTATGACTGACAGCAATTTGTTGCAATGATTCAGACATCATTCTTCATCAGTCACACTCTTT